ATATGTAGTTAAATATGTTTATTTTAGTTTGAATTTTAGAGAATACATTTAAATATAATTTTAAGTTAATTTTTGTCCAACTCTCAGCGAAATATATAACTTACCATGCATTGTAGCCTCTTGTTGAGGTGCGACCAGTGGAAGGCAATGAGTTCTTTTTGAAGGTGTTTTGTGAACAAAGGCCTGGTGGATTTGTGAGGTTAATGGAGGCAATGAGCTCCTTGGGGCTAGAGGTCACCAATGCTAATGTTACCACCTTCAAGGCTCTTGTACTTAATGTTTTCAGAGTGGAGGTAATTTCTTACCTTAGAATAACTACTGCATAAATTTATATTTAAAATAAACAATTAATTACTTTAATTTTTGGTATAGAAAAGAAATAGTGAAGGAGTTCAAGCAGAGCAACTGAGAGATTCATTACTGGAAGTGACGAGAGAAGCAGGAGGAGAATGGATGGAAATAGTCTCTAATGATATCATGAAAGATTTTCACCACCACCATGGTCGCCTCAATGACCAATACCATCTTCATTGATTGCATATCTATGAGTTATTGTGGTATTGAATGTTTATTTGCCTCAATAAGTAGTGAAATTATGTTTGATGTAATGTAATTGTTAAGGAGAGAATAGTTTATAATATCACAAGTTTAGATTGGTTTCCCCATAAGATTTTATTAAAGGGAGCTAAGTGGATGTTGTGGTTACATGCATATTTATTTTTGTAATGATCATTTTGTGTTGCATGAATTTTATTGTATCAGAACACGTAAAGGGAATGTAGCTTTTCACATTCATGGAAATGTTTGTTGGAAATCAAAGGCTATCTTGATAGGAGGAATGCTAAGAAAGAAGATGAACACAACTTAAAAGTGTCACTTTCATTTCACTATATTTTCTTCTTGATGATTCAATTTCAAGCTCATCGCATCTTTTTATACTAATGATCACCCTCATTAGGATTGTGTCCACACAATTCAATCTTATAGCTACTATTGAATCTTTAGAATATTCTTCTATCTTTTGTTACAAAAGTCATTAATTACATATTATAGAATTTTTTATATCACTCTTTTAAATTATTTCTCTATAACATTTTAAGACTTTTTTTTAGAAAATTCTTAGAGTTTTCTAAAGAAAATTCTAGATTATGGGCTCAATTAAAGC